AAATTTTCATCAAATTTTTTTGTGTTAATACTTCTGGCATCACAAGTTTCTCTGTTCATCGCATGCATTAACATCATTTTTACTTAGATCTGTCTATTCTTATATCACGAAACTGCTTCCGTTCTTAAAATAAATTTGCGGGTTTTAAAAATGCAGGTGTAATTGCTCTTTGTGTAAGAATGACTAACCTACCTGAAATTATACTACCTTTTTATTAGTAAATGATTTTTTTCCTAAGTGTTAAAGGTAAAGCCAATCTGAAGTTTATCTCAGTATTATTAATATTATTGTGGGCTGTGAACAAAAACTTGGGTTTCTAATCATTGGTCCTTCTACCATTTCAGGTTTGCCAAAAGTAAGTGGCAATAAAAGCACATCAAAGAAGAGAGATCCCTTTACTGGTTGAAGCCTCGATTAAAATCTTAGAAGGTTGAAATCACAACATTACTTCATGCACATTTTTAGAAAATAAACTGTTCTGTCAAAAAGTTTCTACTTCAATCTTCACATTTTTATTTATTTTATTCCCTTATGCTTCAAAAAGAATGTAATGATTAACTTGAACTTAACACATCATTTTAAAAACTTCGTAATGTGATATAGTTGGATGGTAATACCCACCCAGCTGTTTTTATAAAAATGTGAAATATTTTGTGAGATTTTCTAAATGTAACAAACATACTTTCCTATATGGGTAAAGTATTTGATACATACTTGCAATATATATGAATCTAATACAAATATATAGGTAGTGTTATACATTTGGTGGGTATCGTTTAAGTGTTTTCATAATATGTACGTAATTGCTCAATCTCAAAGAATAAGAAGCCTAATCTAGAGCACACTTCTATATTTTCAATCAGTTTATTTCCTATCGTTCCAGAAAAACAATCGGTATTTTATCTTATTACTATTATGGGCTGCTTATTTTCTATTGTTCTAAAAAAACATTCTGTATTTTATCTTATTACTATTATGGGCTGCTTAGTAAAACTAAGATTTCTCAATTTTGATCCCTATTTGTTTTGGTTTATTTTCCAACCACATGTGTCAATCCATTGTTTTGTGATAGTTATATTTTTGCTAATAAATCCTCATGAACTGATTTATACGTATGTCTATGTGTCGCAGGCTCGCAGCTAATACATGGAAAAGAAGCTGGGCACATGCTATGTGAAATTCACCGCTTAGAGTGAGATAAGTTTTTTCCAACCATGATTGTGTTTATATTTTTGGACCTGATAGTTCTTCAAAGTAATTAACATATGTTTTACTACATCTGTTTCGATCTGATGATTCAAAATCACTTCAGTTCTTAAAATGCATATGTGACTTTCATCATCAGACTGTAATAACTGGTTTTTAAAATATTAAGAACCCATACTTAAATTATACCTTTTTCATACTAAATCAAATTTCTATCATTACGTCAATTTAGGGAAAGTAAAAGTTACCATAATTTTCACAATTTATTTAAATCTAATATAAACTTATGTGTTTTATTTTATATTCCGTGGATATTGTTCAAGTGTTTTCTACCTTTCTATTTGATTTCTTATTATGAAAGAATGAGAAGCCTAACCAGAAGTACCTATGTAATTGCTCATTCTCAAAGAATAAGAAGCCTAACTTAGAGTAAACTTCTATATGTCTATTCAGTTTGTTTCCTATTGTTCCAAAAAACAATTTCTAGTTTATCTTATTACTATCATGGGCTGCCTTGTAAAATTTACATTTCTCAATTTGGTTCTTATTGTTTAAAACCTGGAATGCAATGTTCAATTTGAGCAGTAATTTCTTTTATAATTGCTGACTGGAAGAGCAATAAACCTACCATAGGTTTTACTTAATTATAGTAAATGAATCTTTCTAAATGTTCAAGATGAACTTAATCTCAAGTTTATTTTATTATTATTGTCGGCTTTGAAGAAATACTTGGGTTTTTCATCATTGGTCTTTATATATTTCAGGTCTTCCTACAGTGGAAATAAAAGAGCATCAAAGAAGAGAAATCCCTATAATTGCTGCAGCTTGCATTATATACGTAAGACATCAATATTTATTAACATTTTCATCTTTTAATACAATTCAAAGAGAATGGAGAGTCCTAAAAGACAATTGCACATACACTGAATGGTACCTGGATTACTACTTCTGGAGCGCTTGTTTCCGATGCTCTTTCTGGTACTTGAATTTGTGACGACATTTTCTCGAATTTCCATCTCCTTTTTCTTGTTCATCATCTATAATTGGAGATTTTCTTTTGTATATAAGCATAAGCAGAATGAATTTTACAATCTTATAAAAAAAGAAGAAATATTTTTGAGTGAAACTCAGGGTGTAGATATTCCTAGGAAGTTTGTCGTTGAGTTCTCTGCAAAACAGTTTTGTTTAGTCGAATTATCAAACAGAGATAAGCTTCTTAGAGCACTATTGATGTTCCTAAAAAAATGCTTGCAGTGGCGTAAATGTCTTCAACCACCAAGCCACTATCAAATAAGTAGCAACTTTTGTTTTATATTAAAGTTACTGCGTACAGTTTTTTTAAACCACTATTGAAATCCCTAAAAATGTGTTTTGTGTGTGGCGTAAATGTCTCCAACCACCTAGCCAATATCAAATCAGTTGCAACAGTTTTTTTTTAAATTCACTGATTAGTAAAAAATTACTTTTTTCAATTCAGTGTTTACTAAAAAACGTTACCAATTTTACATAGTCAACTAATTCATTACGAAAATTCACGTAAAAATTACTTTTTTAAATTTACGGTTTACAAAACTAATTTTTTTCAAATTACTTTTTTAAATTCACTGTAATTCTTTATGTTGAGGCTGTAATCAAATCAGTCTCCAACGCAGCCTCTATGCAACGTTTTTTTTTACATTGAAAAGGCCCAATAACAATCTAAAATTTTACGGTATATTACAAACCTAATATTATTTCCTTGATCAATTGGTATTGAATTATTGATGCAGTTAATTAGATTAAGGATAATTTTGTATTGTCACTATTTGTGAACTAATATCAGCCTTTTTTTAATAATGCAGGTTTCCACACAACTTGTTTATTTTTGTAGTGTATCAAATGTAAACTTAGGTTAAGGGGACCCAATTGGGTTGCCCATGTATGTAAGATTAATTGAAAGTGTATGTAATGTTTATTTAGCATAGGGTTGCAGGTAATATTGTGCTGAAGACTTCAGGTACACTCACCCCCTTATCTTCTATTTCCGTATAGGACAACCATATGTCTATACTTGATCTCTCCGTTTATTATGCTGATTTGTGAATGCTATAAAAAGCAAAACAGACATTTCATACATTAATTTTAATAATGACAAAGCATTTAACTAAAGAGTAATCGATAGACTTGTAATCGATAGACAAAGCATTTCATACATTTAGGTGATTTGAGTAATCGATAGACTTGTAAATTTAAATCAACACTTCATGTTATATTTACATTGATATGAACAGAGAACAGACCACTGTGTTTAAGAACACATTTAGGTGAAAAACAAATATAGGAAATCCTAAAGGTTTAAGACCTTGTGTGTTTGACAACACTTAGGTAATGCATAAAAACACTGAAAGGTAGAAAGTTGAAAACAGCATATCACAAAGAATATAATTGAAAACACAGGCTTTGGTGGGTAGCCAGATTCGTTCAGGACTTCTCAATCTTGACTTTAATTGCCCTTTTGTTTCTCTTAACCATCTCCTGAAGAGTTTCTCCAACCTTTTCTGCACCTCTTTTACTGCATGTAGTAGTGTCACCATCTGCTTCCACATTGTCGTTGACAGTAAGGTCAACCTCATCACAGTTTTCTTTGTTTTTCTTGTTCTCCTCATCAAAGGAATCCTCCATTTCCTTAAATGTAAAAAGACTTACTTAAATGCAAAAAATAATTTAAAGAGTGCTTTTTACAAATTAAAATATAGAAATCAAAGTCGTTTTATTACCTTAGCATGCGAAGTTTCACCATTCACTTGTGCTATGTTCTCATTTTCAAGCTTAATCTTTTGAACACTAAAGGCAGTTTCGCCAATCTTTGTGCTTTCATTTTGTACTTGAGCCAAACAAATGACTTTCTTGTCAATTAAATTTAATATTTCCAAAGGAAACCCATCTTCTTCTTTCTGCTCAAAGATATATTCCGGAAGTTCTTTATAGGAGTTACAATATATGACATAGTAAGTGAATTATAATCTTTCATACCGTTTCCCCAACCATAGCAGCTGCCTTTTTCCCGAATAGTTCCTGGCAAGCAGTATCCCATAGTATAAATGCAGCGTTTGCTGTTTTGTCCATAATTCTTATCTTTACTTTGTACCTGTACTTTGTTTTTTTTAGATATTTAGACTTAGCAATTTTTGAAAGTATGCTAAAAGTTAAACTACCAAACTTTATTACTTAGTCTTGAAAAGCAAACCTCATCACTGCATCACGACGGTTTTTACATGCTGGATTTATACATTCAAAACGGCCACATTTTGGTGCCACCTTCCTGGCACATTCTCTGCAAGCCAAGTACCACCATCCTTCTCCAGTTTCGATATCAACCACTTCACCAGCAACCCAGAACCGACCATTCTAATATAAGATATACAATTGACATTAGATTCTCCATGATCCAAAGTTAAATATAATAATAGAATAGAATTTTACAGAATTACCATTTTTTCCTGGAAGAGGGATACGATTGTCACAAATTCTTCGTCTCCCGAACCGTCCTGCTCTTCTTCTGTGGTGACAACAATTGGTGAACCATTGTATCCCTCATCACCGTGCAAGTCAAACCTGTATGTAAAGTCATTATGTTTGTCTTCACATAGGCACATGCACATCACTGAAAGGAATGCACAATTATAGGTATACCTGTCCTTAAAGTCAAGTATCTCTTGGTCTTTCCCATTGATTATCAGTTTAGACCCGTGGTAACTGTTCGTCATGCACACTTCGCCTTTGTACAGTCTTGGGTGAACCATTTGAACAACGATTAGCATGAAGTTAGGAGTCTTTTCTACCCCACGCCTTATTGCGTCCACAAAATCAGCCCAAAGAGTGCACCTGATCTTTTGTTGGCTGTATGGCATGTGTTTAAAATTTTACTAAATATTATTGTTTATTTGAGAAAGGAATTGCTATGAAGATTAAAATAAATAAAAAATTATGGACATCATACTCAGGGTCTTCCAAAACCATTTCAACCAATTTTTGGGTTGCTCCATTATTCTCACGTGGTCTTGGAAAATGGATTGACCTAACACTCCCTATTATATCTGTGTAACCATGTGTTGTTAAGATTCATAGGTAGTCTTCATATGATGTATTAAAAATTTGAAAATAATATAAGGGTAAAATCGTATACCAAACAGCTCAGTGAGGTTAACTTGATTTGCGTTTTGAAGTCCAAAAAATGGTTTGAAGCTGAACATATTTTTTGGAAATGGAACGTCATGGTCAACCAATGTAGTCTTGTGGTTGAAAATGATGTTGAAAGGACAATTTGTTGTCTTGTACTTCATGGAATTTGGAGTCACAACGAAATTCCTCAAGATGTAAACGTTTCCTTCTTTTATCCGCTCCTTGAATACTCCAAGCCTTTCTCGGCGAATTGTTGCATGAACTTTGTCGCCCTGGTTAAATTAAATGTGAGTCAATTTGTTTAAAAATTGAAAACTGTAAAGCTGGCTTGAACTCTAAAAATATTCGTGAATTACATACCTCCTGATCGTGAAACACACACTCCATGGTATTGATCACATTTTTGTTAGTGAAAACCGGGACTGGATAGGCACGCACCAGTCTGACTCTTAGTGCCCAGTTTGTCTTTGAGGTGTTAAGCTCTTGTACCCTGTTGAACATCTTCAACTGTGATATTTTCAACCCTCTGCAAATTAGCAACAGAATTATTGTACACTACTTGCTAAGAAAATCATGGTAACGTAATATAAGTATGTGATGGAAGGTGAGAAATATACTGCAAGAATGCCTGTGCTTGAGTTTGATTTTTGATTCTTCGTTGCAGGTATATATAGAGTGTTGTGATTTGGTGAAACTACCTTTGTCATGGCAGAAAAAGGTGGTTCGTGATTCTATCATGGAGTAACTGCTCCCCACAATCTAATTTTAATATAAGTGATATATTTCCCACGTGTAGTTCTCAAAAAGCTAGAATAGAAATGGGGGTTCGTGAACTGCTGTGATGTAATGTAATTCCCCATCATGTGACACGTGTCATACATCTATGGCCACAATTGTGCAGCATGTTGCACGGTTGTGCTTTTATATATATATATAGATTGTCGAATTGTGATTGTGGATATATTTCAAATTGGTTTTGAAATAAATACTAGTATTAAATATAAGTAGTTATTGTTAATGTTTATTATTTGGAGCTTTTAACCAATATAACATGTCACTAAAAATATTCAAGAGTATAGAGAAAACAGAAGTTGGATGTATGATAGACATAACGAAAATAGAGGATTTCGAACAGAATTTCTTGATGGAGTTACAAAGTTTATTAAATTGGCACTTCTACAAACTAATTATACGGATTGTGACAAAATAAGATATCCATGTACAAAGTGTAAGAACGTGAAATATGTAGGCAGTGAGCAAGTTGGGTGGCATTTGTACACGAGAGGTTTTGTTGACAATTATTATAATTGGACTTCTCACGACAAAATTTTTGATCCGTCACTTTTGCCACAAACTGTGGGTTCATCTCGTAACGTTTCCAACGAGGTGGGTGGTTGGGGAGATTTTGATCAGATGTCGTGAGATCATATAATGGTATATGATACATATGGTGCTTCAACTTCACAATTTAACCTACCCCAACCACTTAACAATCCTCTTGAAGTTGTGAATTGCAAAGGCACGAACTTTGATGTCCCTCTGGTGAAACCTCGATCTCTCGTGTTCCTCATATAGATGATTTAGGAGAGAGGTTTCAAGATGTCTTAAGAGCTATAGATCAGCCTCTTTATACCGATGGTGAGGGTCACTCTCAGCTATCTGACGTTACGGAGTTGATGAACATAAAATCTGAATATAGTCTCCCTGAGAGTTGCATGTCTAGACTATTGCAGTCAGTAGGAGGAATGTTACCACATGACCACAGTCTTCCTACTTTATATTACAACATGAAGCAACTAATATCTAAGTCAGGGCTTCCTTTTATAGAAATTGATGTTTGCCCGGACGGATGTATGTTTTACTGCACACTTTGCATAATAACCTCATGTAATCGGCCCATAAGCTTAGCAGCCCAATATTGTGAGCAGGCTTCCTAGGCACAAGACCTGAGAGCCCAACCCACTTTTCCTCTATATATACTCCCCTTGGGGGTAGTTGTAGGGGGTTGAAAAACATAGAATGCAAATGACTTTCTCTCTCTAGCTCTCACTTCTCCCTAGACCTATACTCAGGGGCGGAGGCAGGACACTGGCCGGACTGGGCCAGTACAAAGAATATTTTCGGAAAGAATTT